GGGGGGATCTCTGGAGGAGCAGTGGTGCCTGGTGCTTTCTCCAGGTTGCTGACTGCCCTTGGGAGGTTGTATATGGGTTTTTAACTTCAGCCTTCGCATCTGCCCGCGGGAAGGGCACCTGGGGCCGCGGCGGCCGGGGCCGGCTGAGTCCGAGGTGGAACGCGGGACTTGGCGTTCCTGGACCAGGCCTCCTCCGGACGGAAAGGACCTTGGGCCAGCAGCAGCAAGAGGCCTTTCCGGGACTGTCCCGGCGCTGTTGAGAACGCCCTGCCTGGCGCCACCAGCCCGGCTTTACTCAGAAGGGCGGCGTTGTAGCCTCGTGCTCAGCCTAGCGGAGACTTTCGGAGGCTCCTAGTGTCCACTTCCATTGCAGCGTTTCATACACGTCGTAATGGTACAGGATCGCGAAGAACAAGCCCGAGCTGGGTTCTGGGGGTTCATGCCTGTAATCCAGACCACTCAGGAGGTGGAAATCTGAGGATTTCAGTTCAAAGCCATCCTGGCAGGAAGGCCCATGAGGCCCAGCACAGTTAACCGATTAACCCGCACAAAGCTGGAAAGTAGAGATATGGCTCAAGTGGTTGATTGTCATCCTTGAGGAAAAAAGCCAAATGAGAGTGTACCAGTTCAAGCCTCAGGATGGCACCAAAGAAGAAAAAGTCAACCTGAATAGAGAAGCTGGAAGCAGGCTTTGCCCACTGCCTTTTTTTTTTTTTTTGCCATTCATGGGGCTTGAATTCTGGGCCTGAGCGATGTCCCTCAGTTCTTCAGGTCAAGGCATACACTCTACCACTTGAGCCACAGCTCCACTTCCGGTTTTCTGGTAGTTTATTAGAGATAAGAGTTTCACAGACTTTCCTGCCTAGGCTGGCTTTGAACCATGATCCTCAGATCTCAGCCTCCTTAGTAGCTAGAATTGCAGGTGTGAGCCACCAGTGCCCAGCTTTGCCCACTGCCTTTCATACGGTTTCCTCCCTGATTTCTCATGGCAGCCTTCTGAGGCAGGGCCTGACCCTTACTATGGCTCTCAGTGAAGAAAGAATCTAAGCGTTGCCGGTTCATATTTTGAACTTGGGAGTGTGAAATATGTTATTAGAGTGGGGATTTGCTCTTGTACATCAGACCTTAAACTACCCCATTTCTACCCTGTTGTCGTCTAGTGGTTTGGGGGCTAAATTTTCTGCTGTCTTTGAATTGTTTGCTGATTGGTTCATAAATGAGTATTCACCTTCCCCTCAGCTTTCTTCTGGACAGGGGCAGACAGGGCAGGCATTGTAGCATATGCCCTAGGATGATATGAGGTCACAGGTATGGGAAGGGTACAGGTGAGCAGAATTACAGATCTCTTGTCTTTCAACAGTAGCCACTTTTAGGTTTGATCTTTGATCCTTGATAGCCATGCGTCGTCTGGGTCCTAGTAGACACAGGAGCCCCTGGGCAGGACTCCTGGCTGCTAAACAGGGTATAGACTCTTCGTAAGGGGCTGTGGATACTTAGAACAGATAGAGAAAAGGTTAATAATTTGTCAAAACCACTTCTCAGATGACAACTGGCCAGTGAAAGCTTTCTCAAATTACATGCCCTTACTATGTAGAAAACTTGAGCTAGAACCTGGGGCTTTGTGGTGCCTCCTTACATGGGAGGTAGGGCAGTCCCTATCTTTGAGCTGGCCTTCACTCCTTCGTGAAGGTTATTTTGTGGAGGGATTACCCCTCTCCAGCCTCTGCTAGGTGTGTGTGATCCTTATGGCTGAAGGACATAAGCAAGCCTGCATCTCAGGGTTCAGTAAATAGACCTGACCTTGAGCACTTCTCTTACCCCTGTGTGGCGCTTTCCTTCAACTATAGATAAGAGGCTTGGTGGAAATGCACATGGTGCCACCGAGTGGGCTTCACTCACTGTGCCTCTGTGAACTGGGGTAAGCAGCACTGAGGACTATGTGCGTGGATTGGTTCTCCTTTGTGGACCCAAGTCTGAGGCTCTGGATAGGAGGAGGGTCATGTCCAGAAACAAGTCAAGTGTACTAGCTGTCTTTACAGGGCCTGCAGAGGGGCCCTGGTAGATTTCCTACTGACAGGTGAAAATAATTTGTTTCTTCAGCCTCCCCATCTGGGTACCACAGAAATTCCAAGGCCCCAGGAGGCTCAGCTGATAGTAGTCAACTGAATGAAGGCCAGTGGACCAGCCTTGGCCAAGAGTGACCTTTTCAGGGAGTGCTAGGCAGATAGACTGTTCTTCCCTAAGCCTCTGATGACCAGCTCTCAGTTGTGCAATGCTACTTTGCTCTGCTCAAAAGTCCACGTGGTTCATTCTTGGTGTTGAGACTCTTTTTTTTTGGGGGGGGTCCGGTCATGGGGCCTGAACTCTGGGCCTGGGCGCTGTACCTCAGCTCTTCAGCTCAAGGCTGGCGCTCTACAACTTGAGCCACAGCGCCACTTCTGGCTTTTTTCTGGATATGTGGTGCTGAGGAATCAAACCCAGGGCCTCATGCATGCGAGGCAAGCACTCTACCTCTGAGCCACCTTCCCAGCCCCCCTGCTATAGTCTTTAGTTTCCATGTTCAGTTTGATGACATGGTTTCATAGATGTCTCTTCTGGTAGGTGCGGAAAATGTGCAAGAACATCAAGAAGGGGCTGGGAAGGTGGCTCAGTGGTAGAATGCTTGCTTTGCATTCATGAGACACTGGGTTCAATTCCTCAGAACCACATAAGCATAAAAGCCGGAAGTGGAGGTGTGGCTCAAGTGGTAAAGTGCTCGCATTGATTTGAAGAGCTGCCCAGGCCCAGAGTTCAGGCCCCCAAAAAAAAGAACATCAATAAGCACAAGCTAAGCCAGGCACTGGTGGCTAACGCTTGTAATCCTAGCCATTCAAGAGGCTCAGATTTGAGGCTCATTGTTTAAAACCACTTTGGGTAGGAAAGTTCATGAGACTTTTATCTCCAATGAACTTCCAAAAAGCTGGAGGTGGAGGTGTAGCTCAGGTAGTGAAACGTCAGCAGAAAGCTCATGGACAGCACGGAGACCTGAGGTCAACCCCAGGGCTGGCACGAAGTAAAAGAGAGGAAAAAGAAGCACGAGCGCTGAGAGGACATGATCATCTTCTGGTGCAAGGTGGTTCAGATACCTACAAGGTTGTGTGGGCTGAGATTTCATCCAGCAGATAGGCTAGTTGGCAGGTCTGCCCTGTGGTTCGTTCTCTGCTGGTGCTTTCCAGAACTGGGCAAACTTCTTGTGTGGTTTTATTAAGAAAGTCTGAATACTAGCTGAGGTTTGTGCCCTTCACCTTTTTTAGGGAACAGTGCTTAAAAGGGCAGGTATGCTCTAGGTAACTTCCCCATCCTTCATAGCCACTTCGGCCTACAGGCAGCCAGGGCCTCAGGTGGGCTGCTTTCTGTCTTAGTTTTCATGCCAAGAGCAAGCACTTTTTTTTTTTTTTTTGTCGGTCGTGGGGCTTGAACTCTGGACCTCAGTGCTGTCCCTGCGCTCTTCAGCTCAAGGCAAGCGCTCTACTTCTTGAGACACAGCTCCACTTCCAGTTTTCTAGTGGTTTATTGGAAATCTGAGTCTCATGGACTTTTCTGCCCGGGCTGGCTTTGAACTGTGATCCTCAGATCTCAGCCTCCTGAGTAGCTAGGATTACATGCATGAGCCACCGGCGCCCGGCTAGAGCATGCACTTTTGATGCATCTCTAGCACCTGTGTTTTATTCTTTCACTATGATTCTGTGGCTGTCAGTGTTAGAAAATTGGAAGCACCTACCTCCTGGGCCTGCTGCTGGTGAGGCCCCAGCCCCAAACTTGAAAAATGGATCTGATAAAGCAAACGGCCCATTAAGAAATCTGCCAAGCCAGGCGCCCGTGGCTCATGCCTGTAATCCTAGCTACTCAGGAGGCTGAGATCTGAGGATCACAGTTCAAAGCCAACCCAGGCAAGGAAAGTCCTGAGACTCATCTCCAATAAACCACTAGAAAACCGGAAGTGGCTCTGAGGCTCAAGCGGTAGAGCGCATGCCTTGAGCTGAAGAGCTGAGGGATAGCACCCAAGCCCACAGTTCAAGCCCCACAACTGACCAAAAAAAAAAAAAGAAAAAGAAATTTGCCATTCAGGGGCTGCTGTCCTAAAATAGGCATGCCTGGAGGCTCAACAGTTGTTCCATTCTTTGAGACCCATTCTGGCCCTGGGGTCCATGGCTTTAATTGGGCTCTGACTCTGCCCTAAGTCTTGGGCTTGAGCAGCTGATGTGGCTGCTCAGTCACTATCCCTGTCCGCTTGACTCAGAAACAGCTCTGGTTGAAATGGATTCAGGTTAGTAGCTGTGGCAACCATAGCTTGCAGGTCATGAGGACCGGACTCACCAGGCACAGGTGCACTGAGTACCTTCCAGGTAGATGGAGAATGTATCCCTCAAGGACTTTCTTTTTTTTTTAGTTGGATATGGGGCTTGAACTCTGGGCCTGGACACTGTCCATCAGCTCTTCAGCTCAAAGCTAGTGCTCTACCACTTGAGCCACAGTGCAACTTCTGGCTTTTTCTGTTTATGTGGTGCTGAGGAATTGAACCCAGGGCCTCATTCATGCAAGGCAGGCACTCTACCACTGAGCCACCTTCCCAGCCCCCCACAAGGTACTGGGGCTTGAACTCAGGGCTTTGTGCTCTTGCTTAGCTTGTAAATTCAAGGCAAGCCCTTCACCACTTGAACCAGACATCACTTCTAGTTTTTTGTTGGTTAATTGGAGATAAGAGTCCCTGGGATTTATCTGCACAGGCTGGCTTCAAATCTTGATCCTTTAGACCTGTCTCCTGAGTAGTTAGGATTATAGGCCTGAGCCACCAGTACCCAGCCCTCAAAGACTTATCTGAAAGCTGTTTTCCTGAGTGAATCTTGAGCCTGCTCCCAGCCATGAGCTTTTGCTCATGTAGTCGTGTGTGTGTGTGTGTGTGTGTGTGTGTGTGTGTGTGTGTGTGTGAAACTCAGGGGAAGGCTAGCACTCTGCCACTTTGAGCCACAGCTTCACTTCCTGTTTTCTCATGGTTAATTGGAAGATTAGAGTCTCACGGACTTTCTTGCCCAGGGTGGCTTTGAACCACAATTCTCAGATCTCACCCTCCTGAGTGGTTAGGATTAGAGCTGTGAGCCACCAGCACCCAGCTCCCAACCCTTTCTTTCACTGAAATTGTAATGTTTTGATTTACCCAAGGTTCTGAGGATTCTGAAGATGATATACAAACCTTAGTGGCGGCAGCAGATGCTCGGGGGAAGCTGGATCCCAGCGGTGCACTCAATTCTGACGATGATGCAGAAAGCTGCCCCATTTGCCTCAATGCATTCAGAGACCAGGCTCTGGGCACCCCAGAGACCTGCACCCATTACTTCTGCCTAGACTGTATTGTCGAATGGTCCAGGGTGAGTGGGTTTTGCTGGGATTCTGCTTTGGATGGCTCCCACTTAGAATTGCTGTGCCTGGCTCTCTGATAGTAAAGAACTAAAGTCTGCACTTTTGAGAGCTGAGCCCTGGGCTTTCAGAACTGTTAATGAGACTTGGCTTACTGTGATGGTTGTGTCTGTGGTTGAGGGGCGCAAGAGAAGGGGACTACAGTTTTCCTGGGAACCCAGACATTAAAACATGAATTGATATACGAGCAGAGCTTATGTGTGCTGCAGCCCCAGAGCATGTTGCTACCTGGGAGGATCTTACAGATCTGATGGTCAACACTTAGTCCTGACTGTCAGCATTGGAGAGGACAAGCGAGTAGCTTGTTGACTATCTTCCTTCCCTTCCTTTCCTCCCTCCCTTTTGTTCCAGTACTGAGGTTTAAACTGAAAAGATGTTTGTTTTATTATATACAGTGAACTTCAGTAAGTCCACTTGAAAGGTTCTTGGTAAAGATAACTAGAAAACAAACATTTATCGTATTTTACCACTAAGTCATCTTTGCAGCCCCCCAGAAAATGTTTAAAAAATATTTTTTTGGGGGGGCAGTGTAGTCATGGAGATGGGAAGACAGGGATGGAAGGGGAAAAGGAGGAGACAACAATGCTTGATAAGAAATGTGCTTATTACCCTGCTCATGTAATTGAGACCCCTCTGTACGGTATTTTCACAATAAAAAAAAGTTTTTAGTATACATTTTCTTTTCTTTCTTTCTTTCTTTTTTTTTGGTCAGTTATAGAGCTTGAACTCTGGGTCTGGGCACTGTCTCTCAGCTGTTCAGCTCAAGACTAGCACTCTAGTACCTGAGCCATGCCCCACTTCTGGTTTTCTGGTGGTTAATTGGTAATAGGACTTTCCTGCCCTGGCTGGCTTTGACTGCAATCCTCAGATCTTAGCCTCCTGAGGAGCTAGGATTACAGGTGTGAGCCACTGGCACCTGGCTTTTAGTATACATTTTAAAAAGCCAACCCTTGATTTAGAGAAAAATTTTATTTTGAAGACAGTATTGACATGAAGGTGATTCTGTTGGGCTGTAATACAATTTTTATTTCTCACAGAATGCCAACTCCTGTCCAGTTGATCGAACCATATTTAAATGTATTTGTATTCGAGCTGAGTTTGGTGGTAAAATCTTAAAGAAGGTAAGTATGCATGCTGCCCACCCCCTTCTTCCCTTACCTTATAGGAAAGAGCTTGCTTTTAAAACTTGGTTACAGGGGCTGGGAAGGTGGCTCAGTGGTAGAGTGCTTGCCTTGCTTGCATGAGGCCCTGGGTTTGATTCTTCAGTACCACATAAGCAAAAAGAAAAAGGCCGGAAGTAGCGCTGTGGCTCAAGTGGTAGAGCGCTAGCCTTGAGCTGGGGATCTGAGGGACAGCGCCCAGGCCCAGAGTTCAGGCTCCACGACCGGACCCCCCCCCCCAAAAGAAAAAGTAAAAAATAAAATAAATAAATAAAGCTGGGTTACACTGGATGGGCGATTTCTCCACACATTTGCATTGAATTCCAATCAGTTTCATCCCCTGTCACACACATCCTACCCCCTCTGCCCAAATCGAGCAGCCCCAGCAGGTTTCCTTGTGCTGCTTTCCTAGCTAGAAGCAAGCATTTCCTTCATACTCCCCACCAGCATAGCCCTCTCTAAGTAGGTTTTAGAAATGGACTTGTGCTTTTGTGGCCCTGAGCACGATGAAGCCCAGAGCTAGAATTGTCATCTGATGAGAAAGAGTCCTGGTCTTTCGCCCTCATCACCCACTCATCATAGTGTCTCTGGGCATGTGGCTGGAGAGGAAATGTGGTGCAAGTTTAGGCCCGCTCTAGGACCAGAATTCAGAAAGTACTGGGTTACTTATTGTGTAGAGCTGGAAGGAAGAAGGCATATTCCTCTGCTCTTAATTCCCCTTTGCTAAGTTGTTCTTGTATGTTTGTTTTTTGCTGTACTGGACTAGAACTAGGGCCTTGTAAATGTTAGGAAAACACTACCATTGAGCTACATCCTCAGCCTTGGACTTTTGAGACAGAGTCTTGCTTTGTAACTCAGACTAGCCTTCACTCCATCATCCTGTCTCTACCTCTTGGTGTTTCTGGTATGTTCCACTATAGTGTGTGTGTGCATGTGTATGTGTGTGTGTGCACGTGTGCATGCGCGCGCGCGCTCGTATCACTGGGCATTGAACCCAGGGTCTATGTGTGCTAGACAAGCATTGTACCATTGAGCCATACCCCAGATCCTCTTCCGTTGATGAGCAGCCCTGGGCAAGGCTGTAGGGATCTGTCTGAGATTCCTACAAGCTTGATATATATATATATATTTTCTTTTTTTTTTTTTGGTCCTGTCGTGGGGCCGGAACTCTGGGCCTGGGCGCTGTCCCTCAGATCCCCAGCTCAAGGCTAGCACTCTACCACTTGAGCCACAGCGCCACTTCCGGCTTTTTTCTTATGTGGTGCTGAGGAATCGAACCCAGGGCCTCATACATGCAAGGCAAGCACTCTACCACTGAGCCACCTTCCCAGCCCTTGATATATTTTTTTTAACACTGAGCCTGGGTGCTGTCCCTGAAGTCTTTTGCTCAAGGCTAGCACTCTACCACTTTGAGCCACCACTCCACTACCAGTTTTAGGGTAGTAAATTGGAGATAAGAGTCTCTTGGGGACTTTTCTGCTGTTCTGCCCTAGCTGGCTTCAAATCAGAATCATCATATTTCAGGCTCCTCAGTAGCTAGAATTAGAGGCATGAGTCATCAGCACCCGGCTTATTTATTTATTTATTTATTTGTTGGTCCTGGGTCTTGAACTCTGGGCCTGGGCGCTGTCCCTGTGCTCTTCAGCTCAAGGCTAGTGCTCTGCCACTTGAGCCACAGGTCCTCTGGGCCAATAAAGCCTGAACAGATCTTAAAATTGTATTATGAACTGACACCTAGATTCTGGGGTCCATTAGGTATGTAACCAACAGATTTGTCATTAGATTCCAGTGGAGAACACCAGAGCCCAGGAGGAGGAAGAGGAAGACCCAACCTTTTGTGAGGTGTGTGGCAGGTGTGACCGTGAGGACCGGCTCCTGCTCTGTGATGGCTGTGATGCTGGGTAAGGGCGCGGGGCTCTGGTATATGCTGGAATGTGTTACCTGGGTTGTGTAGAGGGCAAGGGGTATCACCTGGGGCTCATGGGGGACTGAGCCCCACAGACAGTGACATCAGGGGCTTTCCTAGCTCTCGACATTGTACCTCTACATTTTCTATAAAGCATTCTGAGGCTGCCCAGAGTCACACAGTACACTAAGACAAAGCGAAGGAAGGCTGGGGAACCACAGGGAGATTGGGCCTGGCCTAGCAGTGTACATGCCGACCTAGAGTTGTTGGGAAATGGATCCTGCAGCTACATCATCCTGGCCACAGTACAAATTCCTTGGGCTGGGAAGGTGGTTCAGTGGTAGAGCCCTTGCTTTGCATGCATGAGGCCCTGGGTTCGATTCTTCAGCACCACATAAGCAAAAAGAAAAAGGCCGGAAGTGGCGCTGTGGCTCAAGTGGTAGAGTGCTAGCCTTGAGCTGAAGAGCTGAGGGACAGCGCCCAGGCCCAGAATTCAGGCCCCACGACCGGACCCCCCAAAAAAAATCCTTTACCTTTATTTGGGAGGGGGAGGCCTGGGGCTTGCCTTCTAACCTCTTTCTTATGAATAGTTGGGATTACAGGTATGTGCCATCTCACCAAATTTACTTGTTGAGAAGTCTCTATAACTTATCCACGTTGGTCCTGAACCATGATCCCCTCAGTCTCTGTGTCCTATGTAACTGAGACTGTAGGTCTGCTGCCATGCCTGGCACTCTTGACCATTATTAATTTTTTTTAATTTTATTTTTTTTGTCACATGTAGGGTTTGAACTCTGGCTCCTTCCCTTGTGTATTTGTGCCTAGCCAAGATCTTCATCTTTACTGATGGTCCACATGTATATGTATATGTATATATATATATATATATACATATTTTAAATTTATTATTATTTTTTTTGCCAATCCTGGGGCTTGAACTCAAGGGCTAGGCACTGTCCTTGAGCTTCTTTTTTTGGTCGGTCGTGGGGCTTGAACTCTGGGCCTGAGCACTGTCAGTCCCTCAGCTCTTTAGCTCAAGGCTAGTACTCTACCACTTGAGCTACAGCGCCACTTCCAGTTTTCTGGTGGTTTATTGGAGATAAGAGTTTCACGGACTTTCCTGCCCAGGCTGGCTTTGAACTGCGATCCTCAGATCTCAGCCTCCTGAGTAGCTAGGATTACAGGCGTGAGCCACCAGTGCCCAGCCTGTCCTTGAGCTTTTTTTGCTCAAGATTAGCACTCTACCACTTAAGCCACAGTGCTACTTCGGGCTTTGTCTATGTGGTACTGTGGAACCGGACTCAGGGCTTCATGCATGTTAGCCACTAAGCCACATTCCTAGTCCCGGAAACAAGTTTTAAAAAGACCGTAGTTAGGTGATGTTTCAGTTTAGCTTGGACCAAAAGACCTTTTCTTCTCTAGCTCAGGCACTTAGGCACTGACATTTGAAATTCCTGGGACCCCTGTGAGTGATGGTGGGAAGGTGTGGAGTGAAGAGAAGGGTGGGCTGCTGTGTCACATTGCTGGAGAGGCCTCGCCTCACTAAGGATGACCTGCTACAGTTAGCTGCCTTGTGACTTCAGTGCCAAGGCAGGAGTCTCACTGTTAGCTTAGCAGTACCAGCTAAGACTCCAGGAGTGTGACCTGATCAGCATGGACACAGCAGCGGAAGGCCAGACTCCATAAAAATATCAAGCTTTCATTTCTTCAGACTGGACGCTAGAAGGCCAAGCTTTGATGGAATTGATTTATTTATTTATTTTTTGGTTGGTTGTGGGGCTTGAAGTCAGGGCCTTGGTGGTATCCCTGAGCTTTTCTGTTCAAAGCTAGTACTCTACCATTTGAGCCACAGCTCCACTTCCGGTTTTCTGGTGATTAATTGGAGATAAGAGTCTCCTGGACTTTCCTGCCTGGGTTGGCTTTGAACCTCAATCCTCAGGTCTCAGCCTCCTGAGTAGCTGGGATTACAGATGTGAACCACTGGTGCCTGGCTTTCCACACCCTTTCTAGCCACCTCTTCCAGGAACCTTTTTGTGTCCAGATGCCAAAGCTCACCAGGCCCTGTCTTTCTGAGCCTGTAAAGAGCCTCAGTTGCAAAGGCATAACTGAAGCATAGACACCCATTTGGAAATATGGACAGAGAAACAACCAATGCTAAGACTTCAGTCCAGTTCTCCAGTCTCCTATTATTGGACAACTTGGTCTGGGCACAGAAGATCAGTGCCTGACCTGCCTTGAGGAGGAAGTTAGGGCCAGCATACTTGGGGGCTGGCCACATGGGCAAGGGCCAGAGCGTATGCTCGGTCACATCACATAGGATGTTCGGTCTGTAACAAAGGCACTGAAGGCCTCGGCATATCTGATTGTCAGCTGAGTCGCTGGGCTTCCTTGCTGGGATAGACACTCTTCCTCTTGTTCCTGTAGGTACCACATGGAGTGTTTGGATCCTCCCCTTCAAGAAGTGCCTGTGGATGAGTGGTTCTGTCCAGAGTGTGCTGCCCCTGGTGGTGTCCCTGCCAGTGGTAATGTGCTGCCTTACCCCAGAGTGCTTGGGTCCTGCCTGGTGTCCGAAGTCCCAGAGAAGGGCCTTGGGTCAGAGTGTGGTAGGGAATGACCTTGGCTTCTGTTATGATGGGGCTTTGGCTGGTAGCTGGAGGAACTTTACCTCTGGAGGCAGTCATGAGTCATCAGATTGGGACTTCTAGTCCGCAAGGTCTGGAGCATTTGACTTCTGCTTACATGACCCAGGCAGTCATCCTACATGGGTGATCCTGTGATACACAGGACGTGAGCCCCAGCAGCTCAGGGTTCTCTTTTCCTAAGATATAGTTCCTGTAAGCGAAGAAGAGGTCTCCCAGCTGCTGGCCGACGTGGTGCCCACCACTGGCAGATTGCGGCCTCATACAGGCAGGACCCGAGCCATTGCCAGGACGCGGCAGAGCGAGAGAGTGAGGGCCACTGTGAACCGGAACCGGATCTCCACTGCCAGTAGGGTGCAGGTAGGCGGCCAACACTGGGCCTGTTCTGACCAGAGAGGTCTCAGTGCTGTGAGAACTGGATTGAAGAGCTATCCCTGTGCCATGGAAGTTCAGGTCTGCAGAGGGCCTGTGTGCCACACCCAGCGTAGCCTGGTAAGAGGGCATGTGAGTACACCTTACATGTGTAGGTCAGCCCAGCAAACTCTCCAAGCCAGAAGCTTGGGTTCTGACCCAGAGTACATGGTCCCTCCTGTAGCCCAGAGGCCCTGTGCTGGCTCTCTGACCCACGGAGGGCGGTCCCTCCTGTGTCCAGGAGGTCGCAGCTGGCTCTCACACTTTTAAGGCTTGCAAGTGAACCTTCCTCACAAACAAGTCCCGGTATTGAAGGTTCCATCTCCATCGCTGCCACCCTCTCTGTGTCGTAGGGCACCTGGTAGTTCTTTTCTGAGGTTCCTGTGGGCAGCAGAGCGATAGTGTGGCCTGAGTGCCACGTGGATCAGAGAGACTGAGGTCCTGTCTCCCCCACAGCATTCCCACCTGACTCCCAGTGATACCCTCTAGCTCCTCCCTCCCTCCCAGGGTCTGCTGCCTTCCTTGGAGTGCAGTTTCTCACTTACCTCTGGGATTGGTCTGTTCTGTCCTCGCCATCCATGCCTTCCCTAGTTCTCTCCAGGTGCCCTTGGCTACACACCTGCTTCACCAAGGCCACATGGCTGGCTCCTGCTCCCATCTGCCTTCTTCCTCTGCTTGGAACTCTTGATCAATGCCTAACCCTCACAGCCTATTCCTCCCCCAAGCTTGTTTCCTGGACACGCTTTCAGGCAGGCCCTGACTCTCGTGAAGCTGAGGGAGGTGAAAGAGGCCTAAGGCTCCTGTGGGCCATACTCAGAGCTCTGAGCAGGTGTCTGTGGTGGCACTGTCCCCTTAACATGGTCCTCCTTGGTGTTCCCTCCCCCACAAAAAATGAAGGGTAGTCTTCACGGCATCCCCCACTGATCCTGCTATTGCTGTGTGCAGCACGTGCCCAGGTACCTCATGTCTTCTCTGCTGGATGAGACGATTGAGGCCGTCGCAACTGGTCTGAGCACTGCTGTGTACCAGCGCCCTCTGACGCCACGCACTCCTGTTAAACGGAAAAGGAAAACCGGTAAGCCTGGCACGGTGGACGCTCCTCCCACCGTCATTTCTGCCCTGGAGTCCAGGAATGTGTTCACCACCATTTTCTCCTCTGCAACTTTAGTTGCTCAGTCAAAAATACAGGCAGGCCGGGCACTGGTGGCTCACGCCTGTTATCCTAGCTACTCAGGAGGCTGAGATCTGAGGATCGCGGTTCGAAGCCAGCCCGGGCAGGAGAGACTGTGAGACTCTTATCTCCAATAAACCACCAGAAAACCGGAAGTGGCGCTGTAGCTCAAGTGGTAGAGTGCTAGCCTTGAGCTGAAGAGCTGAGGGACAGCGCCCAGGCCCAGAGTTCAAGCCCCACGACCGACAAAAAAAAAAAAAATACAGGCAGTTCTTCATATCTGTGTTTCTCATTCATAAACTCCTCCATCTGTGGATCCAAAATGTTTGGAGAAACAGTCCCATCTATATTGAATACATACAGTCTTTGCTTTTGTCATTCCCTGAATAATGTAGTATTTTGTATAGTATGTTAGGTATTACAAAGAAACTGTAGCCGATTTAAAATATGTGCAAATACTGTATACTGTTTTATAGAAGACTTGAGCATCAGTAGATTTTATGGTTTTTGAGGTCCTGAACTTTTTTTTGTTGTTGGTTTTTGGGCCTGAATGCTGCGCCTGGGCACTGTCTCAGAGCCAAACTGCCCAAACTTTGAATTATACACTCCTTTCTGTCTTGCCTGGAATTCTACCCCTGGTGATTAAATCTTCCAATACAAAAGTCTCCTAAAATGAAGGTTCATGCAGACCTCTTTTTTCTTTTTCTTTTTTTTTTTGCTCATGACTAGCACTCTACCACTTGAGCCACAGCTCCATTTATGTCTTTTTTGGTAGTTACAGTAATTGGAGATTAGAGTCTTAGGACTCTTTTGCCCTGGGCTGGCTTCAGACTGTGATCCTCAGATCTTGACCTCCGGCATAGCTAGGATTATAGGCATGAGCCACTAGCACCCATCTGAGTGTGGGTTTCTTTTTTTTTTTTGGTTGGTCCTGGGACTTGAACTCTGGGCCAGGGCGCTGTCCCTCAGCTCTTCAGCTCAAGGCGGGTTTTCTGGTGGTTTATTGGAGATAGGAGTCTCATGGTCTCTCTCCTGCCCGGGCTGGCTTTGAACCGCAATCCTCAGATCAGCCTCCTGAGTAGCAAGGATTACAGGCGTGAGCCACCAGCGCCCAGCTCTTTTTTTTTTATTATTAAAAATTTTTCTTGTAAAGATGATGTACAGAGGGCTTCCATTTATATATGTCAGGCAATAAATACATTTTCTTTTTAACAGTGTGCCACCCCCCTCCCTCATTCTCCTGGTTTTTCATATATATTTTTGTTTTGTAATTATGTAAAAGCTTTTAAAGTCAGATCTTGGTTGGCATCAGTAACTCACTTCTGTAATCCTAGCTACTCAAGAGGCTGAAATTTAAGGTTCAAGACTTGAAGTTAGGGACTGGGAAGTTGGCTTAGTGGTAGAGTGCTTGCCTTGCATGTATGAGGCCATAGGTTCAATTCCTTAGTATCACATAAGCAGAAAAAAGCCAGAAGTGGCGCTGTGGCTCAAGTGATAGGCGCTAAAAAAGACTTGAATCTACTCTAGGCAGACACATCCAAGAGACTTTTTCTTTTCTTTTCTTTCTTTCTTTCTTTTTTTTTTTATTGTTGGTCATGGGGCCTGAACTCTAGGCCTGGGCACTGCCCCTCAGCTCTTCAGCTCAAGGCTAGCGCTCTACCACTCGAGCCACAGCTCCACTTCCGGCTTTTTCTGCTTATGTGGTGCTGAGGAATCAATCCCAGGGCCTCATGCATGCAAGGCAAGCACTCTACCACTGAGCCACCTTCCCAGCTCCCAAGAGACTTTTATCTCCACTTAACCAACTAAAGAAAGTCGGGGCATAACTCAAGGAGCTAACCATGAGCAGAGAAAGCTGATAAATCAAGATTGTGAGGCCTTGAATTCAAGGCTCAGTACCAGCATACATAAAAGAAACAAGTCAGGTCTTCTCAGAACTACTCAGAAGTCAGATCCCATCCTTACTTGCCACTTGTTTCCCCCATCTCAAAATGTTTATGGTTTATTTCTCATTTAAAAGTCTAGGACACCGGGCGCTGGGGCGCTGGTGGCTCACACCTGTCATCCTAACTACTCAGAAGGCTGAGACCTGAGGATCACAGTTCAAAGCCAGCCTGAGCAGGAAAGTCCATGAGACTCTTATCTCCAGTTAACTACCAGAAAACCAGAATTGACACTGTGGCTCAAAGGGGTAGAGCACTAGCGTTGAGCTAAAGAGCTGAGGGACATTGCCCAGTCCCAGCATTCAAGATCCACAACCTACAAAAAAAAGAAGTCCAGGCCATAGCAAGCAGTGATAAAGCCCATGCATCCCAAGCATAAGAGCTTGTCAAGCCCCAGCACTGCCCCCCAAAAGTCTAAGCTGGCACTTGGAGTCTTGTAGTACCCCAGTCTTTTACCTGCTCCCTGGGTTCTGTGCTTTCAGGGCCTTGCACATAGTGGAACATAAGAATCTAACATTTTTTTAGGGAGACGGAAGAAGGTACTGGGAAGAAAGAAAACCCAGTCTAGATCATCAGTGAAAAGTAAGAATGGTCGTGCAAGAGCTAAGAAACGCCAATACCATGTGAAAAAGAGAAAGGGGAAAAAGACAAAGGTAAGAACCTGCAGTGGTTTTCAGACCTGGCGGCTTAACTCCTATGGGTCTCGCCGCAGACGACACCAGAGTGCTTCTCTCTGCAGCTACTTTGCAGTTCCCTGAGAACAGTCAGCTTCTCTTGGGGCAGAAGTCAAAAGAGGATAGGGAATGCCTCCAATCCCCTGAAGCCAGATATACTGAGGGTGTGTACAGGATAGACAGGGGTTGTAGGATAACCCCTGGGAGCCATGTGGGCAGAGAAGTCACATTCACGCGGTGTCTGCTTGGTCTGGGCAGCTGGCTCATGGTGTCTGGGATGGGAGCAGGTGGGTATGGACAGGAAGGAGGCAAGCCCTCTAGGCGGAGGACTCTTGGTCACAAGCAGCCGAGAGCCCCAGCAGCCTGGGCCATAGCCACTAACTGGTGGAGACACTTTCCTGCCAGCTCTTGCCTAGTAGAAGGTAGAAGTAGGCAAAAGTGTGTGGTGTCTTTGCCCCACATACCTGGTTCACCTGCTGTCAGAGCTTGGGGGGTAGTGATGGCAGGGATACGCTCAGGCCTTTGCCCATAGGCAGCACCCTGGTGGTTCAATGGATAGCCTCATGCTGTCATCGGGCCCCTCCTAGCTGTTGTCCTTACATAGATCCCTAGGCTGTCACAGAGCATATTTCTTACATAACACAAAGCTGAATCACAACCATTAGCCAAGTGTTTGCCACATCTTTTTCTGGATCTATATAATTTTTTAAAGTTATTTGTGTTTTTTTCATTTGTTTCTGTCAGTCGTGAGGCTTGAACGCAGGGCTGGGTGCTGTCCCTGAGCTTTTTTGCTCAACGGTAGCACTCTACCTCTTTGAGACACAGCGCCACTTCCAGTTTTCTGGTGGTTAATTGGAGATAGGAGTCTCACGGACTTTCTTGCCCTGGAGAGCTTTGAACCGCACAGATCTCAGCCTCTGAGTATATAGGATTATAGGCATGAGCCACCAGCACCCATTTTAGGTTTTTTGTTGTGGTTGTTTGTGGTGGTCATGGGGTCTGAACTAAGGGCCTAGGCGCTATCCCTGAGTGCTTTTGCTCAAGGCTAGAGATCTGTCACTTTGGGCACTATCTCCAGTTTTCTGGTGGAGATAAGAATCTCATGGATTTTCTTGCCTGGGCTGGCTTTGAACCAGCATCCTCAAATCTCAGCTTCGTGAGTAGCTAGGATTATAAGCATGAGCCACCAGCACCAGGGTAGATTTTATTCTTTTTATTTATTTTTTGTAGCATTGAAGGTTGGCCTCAGGGCCTTGAACTTGCTAGAGAGGCATTCTACCCTGGGTCATATCTTCACCTTGGTTGGTTATTGTTGATGTTTTTGCTTCTAGTCCTGGAGCTTGAACTCTGGGCCTGGGTGTCAGGGCCTGGGTGTCAGGGCCTGGGTGCCATTGCTGATCTTTTTTCTTTTCTTTTTTTGCCAGTTCTGGGGCTGGTGAACTTAGGGCCTGGACACTGGCCCTGAGCTTCTTACTATTTGGAGGGGGGGTCTGGTTGTGGGGCCTGAACTCTGAGCCTGGGCGTTGTCCCTCAGCTCTTCAGCTCAAAGCTAGCGCTCTACCACTTGAGCCACAGCACCACTTCCAGCTTTTTTCTTTTTGCTTATGTGGTACTGAGGAATCGAACCCAGGGCCTCATGCATGCAAGGCAAACGCTCTACCACTGAGCCACCTTCCCAGCCCTCCCTGAGCTTCTTTTGCTCAAGGCTAGCACTCTATCACTTGAGCTACAATGCCACTTCTGGTTTTTTCTTTGTATGTGGTACTGAAGGAATTCATGCATGCTAGGCAAGCACTCTGCCACCACTAAGCCACATTCCCAGCCCTCACTGATTTTGTTTAAGGATAGTACTCTACCACTTGGGCCACATCTCCACTTCTGGCCTTTTGGTAGTTGGAGATCAGTCTCCCTCAGTCCTTTTATTTATCTTATTTTTTTTGTGCTGTCCTGGAGCTTGAACCAGGGCCTGGCCTCTGTCCTTGAGCTTTGTTGTTCACTGTATCACTTGAGCTACAACTCCACTTCTGGCTTTTCTTTTCTTTTTTTTTTTTTTTTTTTTGTCGGTTGTGGGGCCTGAACTCTGGGCCTGGGCGCTGTCCCTCAGTTCTTCAGCTCAAGGCTAGCCCTCTACCACTTGAGCTACAGTGCCACTTCCAGCTTTTTCTGCTTATGTGGTGCTGAAAAATCGAACCCAGGGCCCCATGCATGCAAGACAAGCGCTCTACCACGGAGCCACCTTCCCAGCCCAACTTCTGGCTTTTTTTTGATAGTTCAGTAGAGATTCTCACGGACTTTCCTGCCCGGGCTGGCTTTAAGCCACGATCCTCAGATCTCAGCCTCCTGAGTAGCTAGCATAATAGACATGAGCCCCTACTTCCAACCTACATGTCATTCTTGCTCATCAGGTATTCCTTTCTGTTGCTTCTGTTCAGAATGACGTCACAGCTCGCGCTCGTATAGCGCGGACGCTGGGCCTCCGCAGGCCTGTGCACGGCACCTGCGTGCCATCAGTGTACAAGCCAGTAGACCCCTCGCTGGGGCTAATGCGAGCAGATACCGGAGCAGCTTCCCTGTCCCTGTTTGGAGACCCCTACGAGCTGGACCCCTTTGACAGGTGACTACACAGCTGACCATCTGACAGGGGCACCAGCTCCCGTCACCCTTGGACCTGGAGGGTTGTGGGCCTGGCGTTCTCTAGATCTCTCTCAGATTTGTTTAACACAGGCAAGCCCTGCTGGCGCCGAGCCGTCATCCCTCCCTTTGACACGTGTTCCTTTCCAGCAGCGAAGAGCTCTCCACCGAGCCCCCTTCCCCTCTGAGTGCCAAGAGGAGGGCGCTGTCCCGCTCGGCCCTGCAGTCTCACCAGCCTGTGGCTAGACCTGTCTCTATGGGACTTCCCAGGTACGTGTGGGAGGGCCACGCAGGGGCCGTGGCCACATGGCTGGGCACCCTCTGTGGTCTCCCCTTGGCTCTGGAATGTTTGAGGTCAGTGCCATGCTGCATCAGGGCCTGAGAGCCCCTGGCAGAAGAGGAATGGGGCCTCTGCCAAGGCAGGAGCCCCGGTCCACACTCACCAACTCTAGAGACCACTTCCTGCCAGGCACACGCCTGTCATCCCAGCTACTCAGGAGGCTGAGATCTGAGGATCACGGTTCAAAGCCAGCCTGGGCAGGAAAGGCTATGAGATGCTTATCTCCAATGAGCCACCAGAAAACCAGAAGTGGTGCTGTGGCTCAAGTGGTAGAGCGCTCGCGTTGAGCTGAGGGACAGCGCCCAGGCCCAGAGTTCAAGCCCCACAACTGACCAAAAAGAAAAAAGTTTTCCTGCCAGCTCTTGACCTGGTAGTAAACAGGGGCAGGCATAAGTGTCAGAGCTGTGGAGGGGGTGGTCTCAGGAATCTCCCTGGGTCTGCCCATAGGAGACAGGTCCCTGCCATGGCCCCAGAGCCTGGTGTGGAGGAAGCCCCGGTCCCTGACCTTCTGGGGAGCATCCTGTCTGGCCAGAGCCTTCTGATGATGAGCAGCGCTGACGTCATCATCCACCGGGACGGCTCTCTCAGTGCCAAGAGGGCAGGTAAGCACCTTGGGTTGTCACCCCTTCCTTCCAGCTCTGGGAGGGGAGACCCACTTTCTCCAGAGGCACGCATGTCAGCCCAGCTTCTCAGGCTCTGCTGTGAGTGAACCAGAGAGCTGAGGGCCGGGAGCCTACGGAGCTTAAACACCAGGCAGTCGTCACGTCAGAGCAGTGTGGAGTGGAGCTCGGTGAGAGTGGCATGTCTGTGGTTCCTCACGACCCCACGCCCATGGCTGGCCCAGTGCAGCTGCAGAACACATCCTACCCCACAGTTCACCTCTATAAAGCAGCAGCAACAGAAGTAGCAGTGGGGGTGAGGAGTAGGGGGTATGGCAGGGGCACACCTGCAAGCAGACAGGACAGGAACGAGGTGAAATGATTGCCATCTGATCTGTGTTGTTCAGCTCCCGTGTCCCTCCAGCGCACCATTGCAGCTCCATCTAGAAGGGAGGACGCGGCGGGAGCCAGGGATGCTGACGCTGTGCAGCCTGGCACGCCACCGTCAGGGAGCGCAGCCAGCGGACTCAACGCCAGTGGCCAGCCACAGAGCTCTGGCCTAAGCTGCTGGGGCAGGTCGGCCCTGCACCGCAGCCCTGCCCACACAGTGGGGGCACCTGTGAGGCCGGGCTCATCTGCGATCCCTGGGCCAGGCCACGCCCAGAAGCCATCAAACCAGAGTGGCCCTAGACCGAGTGGCCCTAGACAGAGTGGACCTAGACAGAGTGGACCTAGACAGAGTGGCAAACTCGGGCTTAATGGCGCCAGTGCACAGGTCTTGCCTCTTGTTTCTGCCTCGTCTAATATCTCTACCGGCCATTCGAACCCTCCATCTAGAAGCACAACCCTTGGACATACCCCAAAAGTAGTTCCCAGGAGAGCCAGTATCTCAGAGCTGCCTAGGATACCAAAGATCCAAAGGGACAGCAGTGGCAGCAGACGGGGCCCGGCCCGAGGTCAGAGCGTCGAGATCCCCAGCATGTGCATCAGCCGCCTGACGGGTAGAGAGGGCCCAGGGCAGCCAGGGCGGGACAGGGCCGAGAGCAAGCCAAGCAGCAGGGCCCCCCAGGAGCCCAGCTCACAAATGGGCAGCTCCCGTTCCCACGGAAGCTTGGCCCCACTGGGGGCTTCAAGAGGGAAGGGTGTTGGGTCGACCTTCGAGAGCTTCCGGATCAATATCCCAGGAAACACTGCGCACTGTAACCAGGTGTCTAGCCCTGGCTTCTGTAATACATTCCGGCCTGTGGACAGCAAGGTGCAGAAGAAGGAGAATCCTTCCCCTCTCTTCTCCATCAAAAAGACAAAGCAGCTCAAGAGTGAGATATACGACCCCTTTGACCCCACTGGCTCTGACTCAAGCCCTCGAAGCAGCAGCCCTGAGAGCCTTGGCCCCAGCCTCCTGCCATCTGAGATCACCAGGACCATCTCCATCCATAGCCCTAAGGCTCCCCCGTGCCTGGCTGTGCGCTGCGTCACCTCCTACAGGGTAGACAGCGTCTTTGGGAGTGAACCAGAGCCAGACCCGCCTGGAGAGTCCACATCCAGCACACTCAAGTTCCAGAGCGAGGGCCCTACCCAGGGGGCCTCTTACCTGGAAAGAGAAAGGCTAGATGAGGATCCCACAGAGCGTCAGAGTCCCGCCCTGCGGACGCAGCGGTCCTCCCCGGCAGACCCCTGGGACGACGACGATGGAGCGTCCCCTGGCCCCTGCTTTGGCTCCGAGGAGCGGACGGTGACTTGTGTGACTGTCCTGGCACCAGATGCTACGCCCAGCCCCCCTGTGCGGCAGGTGACCACCCACAGGGTTGTGGAGCTGCGGGCCCCGTCGCGCTCCCCGTCCACTTGCAGTTCCCGAGGTGGGAAGAAGGCCAAGAGAAAGAGGTCGGCCAGGGAGCACCGGAGGATGCGCTCCAGTACCCGTTCTGGCTCCAGGGACAGGACTTCGCACTCAGCATCACCTGTGGCTGAGGAGCATGCCAGGAGGCACCGGGCCACGGCCAAGGGCCGAAGATCTTCCAGTGACCGTGCCAGCAGCCAGGAGAAAGCAAAGAGGAAGAAGGCCAAGGACAGGGATAAAGAGTGGAGGCGGGGTTCTCGGGGCCGGAGCCGGAGGCAGTCCCAGTCCCGCTCTGTGAGCCCCGGCAGCTCCTCCGAGCGCAGGAGGAAGAGGAGGCGTCGCTCGGGGTCCAGGCCTCGTGGGAGGGAGTGCTCCCCTCCCAGCAGCCTCGAGAGGACCCGGAGGCACAAGCACCAGCGAGAGCGCAGCCGAGAGCGAGCCGATAGGAAGGAGAGCTCATCCCGGTCTCAAGAGAGGAGGCGGTGGAGATCGCCGTCACCGGGCTCGGAGCACAGGGCTCGGCAGCCTCGTCCCCACGAGAAGCTGCCTCGTTCCCCGGAGAGGAAGGACACTGGGAGGGAGGCTTCCCCCGCCCCCGCTCCGCAGCAGGATGGAGACCACCCGGAAACACTGCCGGCCGCAGCAGGAGTGGGCACCTTGCCAGAAGTGGTGCTGGCTGACCCAGACCCCTCTGCGGCGCCCCCTGCCCTGGAGGTGCCGGCCGAGTGCCCACTCGAGGATCTGGATTATGGCGACTCTGTGGAGGCAGGCCACGTCTTCGAGGACTTTTCAAACGAAGCCATCTTTATCCAGCTTGATGATATGAGCTCACCTCCTTCCCCTGAAAGCACCGACTCCTCCCCAGAGCGAGACCTTCCGCCAAATCCTGCCCTGCCCCTGGCCAGCCAGCTGCATGATACCACCCTGGCAGCCATCCAGAGGGAGGTGTCCCTCATCCATGATGGCCTCTCACAGCCCACACCACCACCAGAGGGCCCCCCAGAACAGTGTCCACTCGGGCAGGGTGTGGCAGAGACGCTTGCCCCCACTCCCAGTGCCCTGGCTGTGGCCCCTGAGGTGAAGGAGGGTACCCCCTCACAGAACGAGGGGGCCTGTGAGGGGGTCAGGCCCGAGGACGCTGTGACACAGGCCCCGCTTTTGCGGTCCAGAGCTCTGGTGAAGAGAGTCACCTGGAACCTACAAGAGGCTGAAGGCGGCGTCCCAGCCCCGGACAGAGCCCCACGTGAGTAGGCACTTGAAGAGGCGGGGGTGGCGGGGGCATCACTGCGATCTGTGGGGGAGGCAGACACCCCAAGAGCCTCTTGCTACCCCTGGCTCTTCTTTTTTTTTTTTTTTTTTTTTTGTCGGTCATGGGGCTTGAACTCTGGGCCTGGGCGCTGTCCCTCAGCTCTTCAGCTCAAGGCGAGTGCTCTACCATTTGAGCCACAGCGCCACTTCCAGCTTTTTTTTTTTATGTGGTGCTGAGGAATCGAACCCAGGGCCTCATGCATGCGAGGCAAGCGCTCTACCACTGAGCCACCTTCCCAGCCCTTTCCTGGCTCTCTGGGGCTTACACACACTTAATCCAGTTCCTTGGAGACGGGCAGATCTATGGCTCAGCCTGTGATCACATTGCTGGATAGCTTGCACAAGGAGCGGGCCACAGGGTACCTACATCCTCTGTCTCTTGGGCCCTCAGGGACATTACTTCACAGACCTCAGGAAGGGACCTGGGATGCGGAGGACGGGGCCCCCACGGGGGTTCAGCAGGTGCTGTTCTCCCAGCTGACCCCTCCCAGCCACATGCTCCTGGAGACTGGGTTCCCTGACACAGACTCCTCTCAGGTGAGTGCGGGGCCATGTGCTGGGACAGTGGGCCGTGCAGGCAGGGGTCCGGCCTGACAGAGGGTCCTGCTTCCCTTCTGCCTGGCCCCTTCTGCTCTGGGAGTGGCTCAGGACTCAGTAGGAACATTCTTGTCCAGGTTTACAGCCCAAACATGCCTCCTGCTCCAGCTCAGCCCGCAAGCATCCTGCCCTACCCACTGGTCAGCCCGCCCCCGGTCCAGTTTATCCTGCAGGGGAGTCTTCCTTTGACAGGCTGTGGCCCAGTACAGGGCCTGGCCCCTGTACCCACCATGTTAGCCACAGCCTCAGAGCTGGCTGGTCAAGCCACAACGGCCAATAACTCAGAGGAGAGGACTGCCCCTCCCAGGCCATCTGCAGAGAAGACCAAGAAGGAAGAGGTAAGCACTACCCCTTCCTGTGCGGGCTTCCATCTTGTTTTGAAACCAGAGTCCTTGGGAGGGGTTCGAGAACGGAATCTAGCACAGCAGCTTTGGTAGGGGACAGCGGATGTTGTCTCTAATACTCCTGGGCTGGAGGAATTGCCCAGCACTGCAGGCCTCCAGCCATAGGGTCCCTGGGCCAAGGCCTGCCGTTCTGCGTGGTCCCACGCGTTCTCTCTTGCAGTACATGAAGAAGCTCCACATGCAGGAGCGGGCAGTGGAGGAGGTGAAGCTGGCCATCAAGCCCTTCTACCAGAGGAGGGAGGTGACCAAGGAGGAGTACAAGGACATCCTGCGCAAAGCCGTCCAGAAGGTGGGCCTGAACGGGCGCGCGGGCGCGGGGAGGTGGGCTTGGACGGGCGCGCGTGCGCGGGGAGGTGGGCCTGGACGGGCATGCATGCGCGGGGAGGTGGGCTTGGACGGGCGTGCGTGCGCGGGGAGGTGGGCTTGGACGGGCGTGCGCAGGGAGGTGGGCTTGGACGGGCGTGCGCGGGGAGGTGGGCTTGGACGGGCATGCGTGCGCAGGGAGGTGGGCCTGGACGGGCATGCATGCGCGGGGAGGTGGGCCTGGACGGGCATGCATGCGCGGGGAGGTGGGCTTGGACGGGCGTGCGCAGGGAGGTGGGCTTGGACGGGCGTGCGCAGGGAGGTGGGCTTGGACGGGCGTGCACAGGGAGGTGGGCTTGGACGGGCGCGCGTGCGCGGGGAGGTGGGCCTGGACGGGCGCGCGTGCGCGGGGAGGTGGGCCTGGACGGGCGTGCGTGCGCGGGGAGGTGGGCTTGGACGGGCGTGCGTGCGCGGGGAGGTGGGCTTGGACGGGCGTGCGTGCGCGGGGAGGTGGGCTTGGACAGGCATGCGTGCGCGGGGAGGTGGGCTTGGAAGGGCGTGCGCAGGGAGGTGGGCTTGGACGGGCGTGCGCAGGGAGGTGGGCTTGGACGGGCGTGCGTGCGCGGGAAGGTGGGCTTGGACGGGCATGCGTGCGCAGGGAGGTGGGCTTGGACGGGCGTGCGTGCGCGGGAAGGTGGGCTTGGACGGGCGGGCGCGCGGCTGTCACTACACAGAAGGTGGGCTTGGACGGGCGAGCACGGCTGTCGTTACATCAAATGCCCAGGCCAAAGCGGTGCTGTGGCTCAAGTGGTGGAGCACTAGCTTTGGGCACCTAGCCCCTGAGTTCAAGCCCCATGACTGGCAGAAAAACCTCAACAAAACCAGAAAGCCCAGTCCTGAATATGATAGGCTACTGCCATTTTTTTGTCTCACAGACTTTCGGGGCCTATAAATGAACTGTGGATCAGCTGACTGGGCCATGTTGACAGTTGAAAAGGCAGATACCAGCCAGGCACTGGTGGCTCACATCTATAATCCTAGCTACTCAGGAGGCTGAGATCTGAGGATCGTGGTTCAAAGCCAGCCCGGGCAGAAAGGTTGTGAGACTCTTAACTCTCCTGTGTAACCAGCAGAAGATCAGAAATAGCCCTTTTGCTCAAGTGGTAGAGCCTAGCCTTGAAATGAAGAACTCAGGGATTGCACACCGGCCTAGAGGTCAAGCCCCACAACCAACAACAACAACAAAAAAGGCAAATCCTAGGGACGTTTAAGATTGCCTAGTCTAGGGCTGGGAAGGTGGCTCAGTGGTAGAGCGCTTACCTTGCATGCCTGAGGCCCTGGGTTCGATTCCTCAGCACCACATAGGCAAAAAGAAAAAACTGGAAGTGGCGCTGTGGCTCAAGTGGTAGAGCGCTAGCCTTGAGCTGAAGAGCTGAGGGACAGTGCCCAGACCAGAGTTCAGGCCCCACGACCGGCCCAAAAAATAAAAATAATAAATTGCCTAGGCTACTCCTGGCCCGTAGATAAGGCCCTGAGAAATGAACAGGACTGTCTGTGGTGCTGAGTCTCCAGTTCACAGGAAGGCCCTGCAGCCCTGTAAGATGGCAAGCAAGCTGCCAGGGAATGCTTCCTGGAGATGGCAGACAGGTCTGCCACGGTCAGTGCCTGGTGTTCGAGGCCTCAGAGTAACTATCTTCTTCCTGCAGATTTGCCACAGCAAGAGTGGGGAGATCAACCCCGTGAAGGTGGCCAACTTGGTGAAGGCATACGTGGACAAGTACAAGCACATGCGTAGGCACAAGAAGGCGGAGGCTGGGGAGGAAGTGCCTGCCCAGGCCGAAGCCTGAGGCCAGGAGCGCTGGGCAGGCCCCTGGGGACACTGCAAAGGTCTGGGACCACCAGCACTCCTGCCGCCAGGCTTCCATGACCACACCTGTCTGCACCTGTCTTGCTCACGGTTGAAAACTGGACTTTTTTTATATGTATATTATAAATACAATGTTTCCATTGTGTTCTAATTTATCAAAAGTGACTTACCTTGAGAATCGTTTCTACCCACTAAGGATGGGGAAGTGAGCCCTGGCCGGCTGGGGCAGGGGGAGGTCCTGCACAGGGCTAGCATTCGTTTCTTGTGCACCTTGCACCTCTGGTGTGGCGGGGCCTTACCTTTTCCGATTGCTTTGTGCTCCTGTAGGTAGCCGTCTCCCAGGAGAAAGCTCTGCAGAGAGGCCTGCCTGCCGCCCTCCCCCATGCCTGCCTTCCAGAGCATTTGTATGCAGCAGGGATTTGGTGGCTGCCAAGCTCACCGTGAAGCAGGGTGTTTTGCAGTGTGCAGGGAGGTGGGGTGAAGTGTGATCCAGGCCCAGCCATATCAGTCAGCGCCATTAGCAAGCCAGCTGCTGGGGAGAAGCGTCCTGACTGCTTAATGCCACTCTACCATGACAGCACTGGCTCTCGCTCTTTATTGAGGGGAGGTAGCGGCCGGCCTCGGCCCGCCGTTCCAAGTCAGGAGGAAGTGCTCGAGGTCGTCATAGAGGCTGTTGGTGCTGGACAGGCACAGGCCCAGGCTGCTGCTGTCCAGCGAGGACACGCCCTCCCGCTGCACGCCCTCCACGTGCACGCGGCACAGCAGCGGCTCCAGCTGCAGGCAGGGGAGAGCGTCTGTCACTCCTGTCGGTGGCCAGGCCGCCCACCCCACCCACAGCGCCGGCCGGCCTCACCTTCACCAGGATCAGGCTCTTCTCCTTGGGCCTTCTGGCGGACAGGTCCTGCCCAAAGCCCAGGTAGATGGTATAGTGAGGGGAGCCTGGGCGCTGTCTCGCCCGGAACTCGCCCAGTTCTGCAAGAGGAGGCTCCGGTGAGCAGGCGGCCAGGGCAGCGCCTCGACAGCCCCCGGAGGGCACCTCACTGACCTCTGAAGAAGGTGCTGAAGTCAAAGATGGGCGTGTGGCAGTTGCGCTCCAGCAGCTGCGCTGGGGTGGAAGGGCTGGCAGAGCCCAGTGGGCTTCCCACCTCCCAGTACACCTTGCATTTGCCCATGCGCAAGGCCCACAGTTCCAGCCCCCGCAGCTCCAGCTGCAGGCCGGGGGCCACGTGCCGCAGCAGCTCCTCTGTGTAGCGCAGCTGCTTCTGGTCGGGGAGCTCAGCAGGGCTGGGGAAGAGGACTGGCTGGGCCTCGGTGGCCAGGGCAGCCGGGCCTGTGGGGTTGTACAGGAGCACGCAGCCGGGGTGCCCCACCACTGCCTGGAGCACGGTGCGGCCTTTGTACATGATGGTCACATCCAGGGCTCCCGGGCCAGGCTCTGTGGAGGGACGGAGCTGTGAGCTCAGGCTGTGTGTGCCCTGGGTCTGGGCCAGGGAGGGAAGACCAGAGCTGGCCCTGTCCCCAAGCCGCTCTCACCCACGGTCAGTGCTGGGTGCTGAGGTCTCGGGCTGGGGACACCCTCCATGGTCCACGCGGCCCTGGGCTCCTCGGGGTGCTCTGCGCCAGGAGCCACAGAGGAGCTGCTTAGCGCTGATGGTGACGTGGTGTCCCAGCTTCCCTGCCCTGCTTTCTCCACATCTTGGTCAAGGGTCAGCCCTAGAGTGCTGGCCCTTCCCCAGGGGGCTCTGCCAGCCCCCTGCCCTGTCTCCTGCAGAGAGGAGCCTGGAGTCTCACCAGGAGCCTGGGCGAGGGCCTGGTTTCCTCCCAATGCAGCCTCCAGCAAGGGACCCCCCAGGAGACTCTGTTGCAGAACCCCAAGCAGCGGGAGGTCCCCTGCATCACTCCCCATGGTGTCCAGAGGTCCTGGGGTGCGGGACTCAGCACCTCCTGTCAGGAATGGCCCTGGGAGTCCCCCCTGCAAGGAAGAACAAGTCAGGCCAGCAGCTGCTCAGGCCCCACGCCTAGGGAGAGGCGGTGGGTCAGACTGTACCTGTGCTGGTGGGGCAGCTCTGAAGGCCTCTTCCTCCCCGGGGTGGACAGCTGGGATTACGGAGGCTGGCGGGAGACCTGGCTGTGAATGAACAGCCCCCTCTCTCTCCAGGGCTGTCCAGTTCCAGCACTCCCCGCGAGTCACAGCCTAGCACTTGGGCCTGCCTGGGAAGGGGCCAGCCCAAAGCTGCACCAAGTCTTTACCAGGCCAGTTTCTAAAACTAAATCTGACATCCTGGAGAGCAGTGAGACACAGTAGGTCCTCTGCTGTTCTTCCTGCCTCCCTGGCCCAGCCCTCAGCGCGCCTCACCTCTGCCCCCCGGCTCGGAACTGAGCATGTAGACTTTGTGGGGGTCGACCAGGTCCCCAGAGTTGTCCTGCAGCATCACGAAGCGTCGGGTGCTGCGCAGTGCGCAGCGGAAATTGGTTTTCCAGCCAGCGCGCTCCGCAGCCTCGGCTTCCGGGGAGGGCTGGGCGCCGGGTGGCCACCTGCCCCGGGCCACGGCCCAGGCCTGGAGAGGACAGAGGTGGGCTGGGGGGAGGCCCGCTGTGAGCCCGGAAGAGGCTTGCGTGTGCAGGGCTGGGTCTCACCTTGAAGATGCGTGCGTCTGCCTCCCCCAGATCCTTGCGAGCGAAGTGCTTCCAGGGCACACGGAAAACCGTGTGGGTCTCGTCCAGCCACCGCAGCCCCTCGTACCGGCCACTGCTGACCTCACTCAGGAGCCACTCCCCAAATAGCACTCGCTGGACAACCCTGCACGCAAGGCAGATGGGCAGTCAGGCCTGCAGCCAGGCGCACCTCAGGGCAGAGGGGGAGGTGGCTCGCACCTGTCCTCAGCCGCAGCCATTGCTCCTTCCTGCGGGGACAGTCTGGAGGTCAGGGGGCCCTTGGCGTCAGAGACGTGGTCTCAGGACCCGTCCTGCGGTTGCCACGGCTGGTAGGGGAGAATTGGTGTAGCCAGGAATCACAGGTGTGACCCAAGATGTTGCCTGCAGGATCACAGATGCGCACTGTACACTTGGAGCCACCTATGTTGCCTACTTATGGGTTTGTGGCCAAGGTGGCTGTCTGTGACCGCAGATGTGGCGGGTGCGCACACGTGGAGTCACAGGTGTTGATCCAGCGTCCAGGCCTGAACGGAGGTCGCAGGCAGGACCCTGCGGGAGACAGGCAGGCAGGAGAGGCAGTGAGGAGGGCCGCCGAGGCTGGGAAAGTGAAACTGCGGCTCTGGAAACGAAACCTAAACTCCAGAGCTGCGGCGGGCTGGCGGCGCTTTCCCAGGTCCGGAGCCCAGGCCCAGGAGCTCAGGCCCCAGGACGCGGCCACCTCCACCCGGCCCACCCGGCCGACCTAGGCCCCCCACCCCCACCCAGGCCTGCCCCAGCCCCGGGCTGCTGGTGGGGACCCTCTCCTAGGCCCCTCGCTCTCGGGCCCTCTGGCCCTTTGCTCTGCCCCGACAGCCAGACGGCCATCTACAGTGGGGCCAAGGGCCCCAGGCTCCTCGCCACCCCACCTCCCCCACCACCCCCCACCCCCCAGCTCCACCTAAGCCGGGGCCCCTACCTGGTACCGGGACCACCGGCGCGGAAAGTTTCCTCTCCCAGCAAAGGGTGCCTGAGCTCTTATAGTGGTGGGCGGGGCAGGCAGGAACCTGAGCCGCCCAGGACCGCCCCCTCCCGCCCTGCGGCCGGCCCGGCCCCGCCCTGCGGCTGGCCTGTCTCCAGCCTCATCCATCCCTGCCCCCTGCCCCCACCGTCCCCACGGCTCCGGCCATCCTGTCCCCCACCCTCCAGTCAGGTTGGTCCCCAGAGCTCAGCCACCCCTGCTCCGGCCCGGGCCCGGGCCCCGGCCCGTCCCCAGCCCTCCCTCCGGCCGTCCCTCTCCACCCTGTCCCTCCCTGTCCCATCCCCAGAGGCCTGGACAGTGCCCAGGAGGGGCAGATCCGCTCCCCCCTGCTCTTCTAAACCAGGTGCATCCCAGGGGTCCTTTCCTCCTCCAGGAAGCACAGACGTAGACAAGCTGATCACAAACCTAGACCTTCCTCCCTGCCCTGTAAAGGTAATGGGAGAGGCCAGAAGCAGGAAGCATTAACAACCTGCTTAGATGGGAGCAGTCACGCCCCAAATTAAAACTGGTGGGAAAATGTGTGGTGCCTTAACTTTAAGGAGATGCAAGTCCAGCCTGGGCCCTGGAGGAAGCAAGCTACTGGGAGGGCAGCGGCTTTATATTACAGAGGCCCTCCTGGGCCCGCCCCGCAGGGCCCTGCACACACGCCTCCCTGCCCAGGGCACAGACTTCAGAAGGAGGCTGAGGACCAAGAGGCCCCTCCCCAGAAGGCTTCATGGCAGATGAGTCTCTGGGCTGGGTTGAGAAATAGAGATCTAAAGATGGCCAGAGGAGCTGGGAAGGTGGCTCAGTGGCAGGAAAAAAGTGGAAGTGGTAAGCCGGGCACTGGTGGCTCTTGCCTGTCATCCTAGCTCCTCAGAAGGGTGAGATCTGAGGATCGCGGTTCAAAGCCAGCCTGGGCAGAAAAGACCATGAGACTCCTATCTCTAATAAACCACTAGAAAACCAGAAGTGGCGCTGTAGCTCAAGTGGTAGAGCGCTTGCCTTGAGCTGAAGAGCTGAGGGACAGCACCCAGGCCCAGAGTTCAGGCCCATGACAGAACAACAACAAAAAAGTGGTAGAGGGCTTGCCTCCCATGCATGAGGCCCTGGGTTCGATTCCTCAGCACCACATGTACAGAGAAAGCCAGAAGTAGTGCTGTGGCTCAACTGATAACAGCACTAGCCTTGAGCAAAAGAAGCTCAGGGACAGCGCCTAGGCCCTGAGTTCAAGCCCCAGGACTGGCAAGAAAAAGTCCAGAGATGGTCACATCAGTAAAGGAACTTCCTGGCGGCCAGCTGCCTGGGTTTATGGGAAGCTATTCAGACCCTCGGGGCTGGGGAGAGGGGACAGTGGCCATAGGCCCTCAGAGGGAAGCAGGAGCAGCTGGAGGTGTTGGGATCCCGGCCCAGCGGGCCTGATGTCCTGGACTCAGGGTTCCAAAGCAGTTCTTTATTGTGCACCAGGAAGGACAGTAGACAGGGGCTCTGGGGTGGGGGGCCGGCTAGATGTAGGTGGAGTCGGGGCTGCCGGCTGGGGGGGTCCTGCGGCCGGTGTCCTCGTCGCTGCCGCTGCCCTCGTCTTCGCTGCCCGCGTTGCCGGGGCCATCTGCCTCTGCAGCGGGCGTGTTGAGGACCACCACATCCGCCTCGGCCCCGATGTCTTCCCCAAACCACACGGCCTTGTAGCCACCCTCGGGCCGCCGCTCCTTGGTCAGGATGGATCTCACCGCTGCCGAGGGGCTGTCTGCAGCCCCGGCGGGTGCGGGGGTCCCCGGGGCCAGGCCCAGGGGTTCCGGCCTGGGCTGCGCGGGGGTGGGCAGCTCAGGGGTCTCCGGGTCGGGAGACGCAGGGGTCTTCTCCGGGGGTGTGGGCTGCGGCTCAGGGCTGGGGCTGGGTGCCCAGGCAGCCTCGTCCTCTTTGAGGAAGGCCTGGTTGTCAGAGCCCAGGGCCTGGGGCTCCTGGGGACATGGGAAGGATGTCAGCCAGCCAGCCGGGCTCCCACACCCACCCCGCCGCCCCTGTCCCCTTCCCTCCCCACCCTGTCCCTCGCTGCCTTCCCACCCTGGTGTCCTCCCCCTGCGAATCAAGCCCCCTGGTTGCCTGGCTAGCCCCCTGCCTCCCTCCTATCTTTGCTTCTCCACTCCCTCCCCTCCCCCCAGCCTCTCTGCCTGCCCCTCTCCCAGCTTGTCCAGTCCCCACCCCCTCCAAGGGCCTCACCCCAGCTCTGCCAGAGCAACAGTGGAGCCGGTGACCATACTGCTTATGGAGGAGGATGACCAGGCCAATAAGGGCCAGCAGGAGCAGCGCGCCCAGCACCCCGCCCAGCACCGCCATGTCCACCGTGGAGAAGTGCTGGCCCGCGCCCGGCTGGCCCGCGCCCGGCTGGCCGTCACCCCCGGGGCCGCCTCCTGCCAAAGACATCATGGCCCCTTCCTTTGAAATGCCCTGGGCACTGCAAAACCCAGCCCAACCCGGGCTTCCTGCCCCAGGCTGAGGATCCACGGAATGGGTGCTACTGACTCTGAAGGAAAGGCGGCCGGGTTACCAAGGCCAGGGCTCAGGATGGTCAGGCCGCTGCGGGAGGGACCGCAGGGGCGGCACGGAGGAGGGCATGCCGTGCAGGGCAGTGGGGGGGGGCAGGGAGGAGGGCAGGCCGTGCAGGGCAGTGGGGGGGGGCAGGGAGGAGGGCATGCCGTGCAGGGCAGCGGGGGGGGGCAGGGAGGAGGGCATGCCGTGCAGGGCAGCAGCTTCCAATATGACCCATGGTCGAGTGCCCACCCAGTTAGACCTGAGGTGGGACTCTCCGTGGGCAGCGTGTCTGGTCACCCCACTCAGAAATCGCACTTGGTAACCACTTCTCTAGGACCGCTGGCAGGCCAGGCCCTGCTGACCCCACACCCTGCGGGGCACTGCAGATACACGCGGCCAGTGCAAGGCGGTCTCCACCCGAGACCTGAACCCCGGGCCTGTGCCGAGCGTTGGCTCCTGGTGGGAAGGAGTTTGGCTGACAGCGGAGGTGCCTGCCCAGGCTGCCCGTGGCCTTGGGGCAGAGAGGACCCCTGGGGGCCTGGAAGTGATGTAATTCATTCTCCAAGGACAGGGTCTCACTGTGTGGGCTCCTGCCTCGATCTCCCCAGCAGCTCCCTGCCCAAGCCCCCCACTGCTGGCCTCCCGAGCTCGGCACCTACCCCGCGTCTCCACATCATCCCGAGCTCAGCGCCTCCACATCATCGGGAAGGCATTCCCTATCTTAAAAACTAACAGCTGTGCTGGGCGCCGGTGGAAAAAAAAGAAAACCTAATGGTTTACCTAACTGGTAAAAGTGGGGCTGGCTGAATTTCAGATCTGGCCCCTGCCCAGCCCCTGAACGCGGAAAGGACCGCTGGGGTTTGGGGCCTGGCTGCCCTTGCCGAGCCCTGTGGGTAACAAACCACTGGGCCCTGAGTCAGGAGGGGGCTCTAGAGCCAGCAAGGCGGGACTACCTGCGGCTGGGGGGCTCCCGCTGGGGCCGGGGCTCATCGTGGTCTGGGCGCTCCCTGGCGTCAGCGTCTGTGCTGAGCCCCCACCGGGCGTGGCTGAGGGGGGGGCTGTTGGCTGGGCGCCCCCACCGGGCGTGGCTGAGGGGGGGGAGCTGCTCGGTCCCTCAGTGGGGGGGAGCCCGGGTGTGGATGAGACAGGAGGCCTCAGAGTAGTACCTAAAGGTGGGTGAGGGCCAGCGCTGGTCAGCGGGTCCCCAGCGGGGCAGGGCAGGGACGCGTCGGAGCAGCCTCAGCCCCAGCAAGCCCGTCCAGCGGAGGCCCACCCCTGCGTGGGGGACACCGAGGCCCACCTGTGGGGGGGGTTGCGGGGGGCTCCTGCTCCGTCACGTGGATCTCAGCTGTGGCAGTTGCCGTGGCCCCAGTCACAGTGTTGTTGGCCTTCACCTGGTGTGGAAGGGTGCTCGTACCTCCTGGGTATCCCGCCCCAGCCCCTCAGAATCACGTGACCCCTCCACACACACACACACACACACACACACACACACACACACACCTCAGCGTAGAAGACGCTGGCATGCTGCAGGGCCCTGGTGGTCAGCACAATCTCCCCCTCCATCGTGAAGTCCGAAGAGTTGGTGATTCGATACCTGATGGCTGAGTTGAAGTCCTAGGCAGGGCCGCCATGAGTCCCAGGCCCGGGGGACCCCGCGCCCACACGGAGGCCAGGCCAGGCGGACCCAGGACCCACCCAACGGGGGGGGGGGAGGGGCCTACCGGGAACTCCGGGTCCTCAGCCCAGATCCTCAGGAACCGCGTGGGGGAGGCCGCGTCCCTGACGGTCGCATTTGCCCCCGAGCCAGCCTCCACGGTGCCCCTGAACACACTCTGGGGGAAGCGCGGGGAGTGGCCGGCGGTCCCCCGGGCCTCCAGGGTGGCCTTGGTAATGGAGTAGCGAGCCCCATCCGCCTGCTCAGCCTGGAGAGACAGGACCAGGAGAGACGGCGGCTCAGGAGGGGCTGGGAGACCTGGCCACACCTGCCCTCCATCCTGCCCCACACCCACCTTGACCATCAAAACGAAGACGGTGGGGCTGGGGACACTCTTGGCCATGGTGAGGTTGCCGGAGGTGTCGTTGATGGCGAACGTGTCCTCCTGGTTTCCTTAGGGCGTTTGTGGTGGAGTTCAGCCACCTCCCTCACCAGGCCCAGGCTCCTCCTAGGTTGCCTCAGCCCCGGACAGGGGCAGGGGCAGGGGCAGGGGCAGGGGCGGGGCAGGGGCAGGGGCAGGACAGGGGCAGGGGCAGGGACAGGGGCAGGGGCAGGACAGGGGTAGGGGCAGGGGCAGGGACAGGGGCAGGGGCAGGGGCAGGGGCAGGCTGGGCTCCAGGGACAGCTCGCACGCACTCACCCCCAGCAATGCTGTAGACAATGCGCTGGTCGATGCCCCTGTCACCGTCCACCGCGTAGATGGGCCCCGGGCGCAGGGTGAGGGGGGATGTCTGAGGGGATGGGACACCATGGAGCCGGGGCCGACAGCCCAGCTCTGCCCCACCTGTGACCCAGGAGGACCGCGGCCACCTGGAGCGCAGTCGGGGGAGGGGGGAGGGCAGGGTCCAGTCCGGGGTGCCGGAGCTGAAAGTCCCCCCCCCCCGTGCTGTGATGGACACAGCCGCTCCCTCCACACCCCTTTCTGGAGTCTGCATAGCCCACGTGCAGCCCATGGAGAAGGGGCTGGCGGCTCTGAGAGCCTGCCTGTCCTTCTGTCCTCACTGGGAGGCCCCCCTCCTGCCCCCCCCCCGCCCCCTGCCGGCACACCCTGCAGGCAGAGGAGCAGCTGTCCCCCCCCCCCACCGCCCAGCCCACTGCTGCAGCCACACCCCTCAGCCCTTGTGAAGAAGAACCACCCATTGGCCATTCCCGCCTGCTTCAAAGTCACAACCAAAACTGCCCATAGCCCACCAGGAAAGCCTCAGCCCGAGCCAGATTTACCCCAGCTCGGGCCTGGAGCCTGAACTGAGGCTGCCCCTGAGTGGCCCATTACCGGCCTGTGGCCCACGGGGACCGAGCCGTGGTACTGGGCCTCCAGGCAGACGTAGCCATCCGAGTAAGTGCAGGGCAGGAACCAGGGGGGCCGGAGGTCGGCGGGCAGCACGCTCAGGACCAGGGTGGCTGTGGCTGTGTGGCTGGGCTCTGTGCTCCCCACAGTGTCCTGTAAAGCCACACCCTCCACGTCAGGCCTCCCAGAAGCTTGAATGGGACCCCAGGCGTCCAGGCTTTGGGGTGGACATGACTTGCTCGCCTGCACTATCAGCTGGAAGGTCATGTTCCGAGTCTTGAGGAAATCCAAGGGCTTATCCAGCCTCAGGGAGGGGCGGTTCACCCCCTCCAGGGAGAAGAAGCTGCTGGCACCCTGTGGGGGAGGGAAGGGTACAGCGAGGAGCAGGGGGGGAAGGGG